TCCCCCCCCGAAGTGTATCATATTTAAAAAAAAATAATAATAATAATTCAGAATATTGCCCAAAGGGCATCATATTGTGTTTGTAATGCCCACACCAAATGTTAAATTCTTTCTTCTAATGATATCCTTCCTTGATGCTCACTGGATTGAATGTTTTATGAAAGTCTAATTTACTCAAGATATTAGTTGTTCCAGTGTTGATGGAACTCTGTAATCACAAGAATAGGGTATACACTGCCTTTTGACACTAAAGAGGACCCCAACAAAATGTAGCTGGAAAGAAGGTTGAAATATCTAGAATTGTAAGTAAATATATTGAGTACTATAAATTGAAACCGCAGAATAAAACAAATGAAACCACAATCAGATGCTACACTTAGGCAACAAAAAAAATGACAGACACTTGTCACGTCCTGCTAAATTATGTAATAAATGAACTGTCATTCTAGGTCAAAATTGCAAAATGCTTCTATGCTGTCCTGTTTCAGTAATCTGGACATGGCTTTTGCTGACATTTTCTGTGTGGAATTGGTATTTAATCCTCTGTTTATACAACTAAATTGATTTAATCCTCTGTTTATACACTTTCATCTGGATTTAATTATAGAGCCTTCCTGCAGAAGAGATATGAATGGATTTTATTTTAATGCAAATGTCTTGCTGAAAATGTGAACATATGACAAAATATGTGATATGTAAAAATTATTAGCTTCTGAGTGCCACCTTGTCTGAGAGTAAAAAGCATTCTATCCATTGGTTTGGCCATCCCTGTTCTAAATTATGTAAGAGTGCTACAGAAGAACCACGAGAACACACACAATCGGACATACAATGTATGTATTGTGTGTGTGTGTGTGTGTGATTTCCCGGATATTGTATATAATTTGCAAGACACCCACAGCCCTATAAGAGTACGAATGGGCCCTTGTTGTTTCGCCCGGCAAGGAGGAAGTGACTGCCGCTCATTTCCAGTTTGACAGAGCGCCAGGAGGGAGATGGCGGTGACACCATATGCAGACAGTGGAGAGGCTGGAGTGAGCTGCTGCAGACCCTCACTCCCATCAGCCTCAGCCAGCATCACCGAGACCCCAAACAAGTCATTGACACAAAAGGTAAGCTAACAGGAGGAAGGCTGCAATTATAAAAAATAGAGAGAGAGAATGAGAATATTTGTGTTCTGTCACAATAAAATGTCATGTCCTTGTTCATACATGTTTTGTAGATGTGGGGGCAGTAGCAGGTGAAGCTACCTCCCTGAAACAAGTTTCTGCATATACAGTTTATACAAAGAGGCCATCTTGGTTTCATATGTTGATTTAGATAAGCAAGTAGATCCAAACCTATTCCCTTCCACTCTGAAAGAAGCCTTCTTACATGCTAAAAGGCACAAGTAACAAATCAAAAGCCATAATAGTTGCCATCAGTGGCGTACATACCAGGGTTGCAGGGGTCGCGGCTGCGACCGGGCCCGGCCGCCCCTGCGACCCGGTATGTACCCACTGGGCCAGCCTCTTCTCACACACAAGCTTTCTTACTAGCAGGCACATACATACACAAGGCTAAGAATACCTACCTGGCACTGGATGCTGTTGCTGGGAGGTCAGGTAGCCATATTGGGCCTCTTCCTCCTGCAGCAAGGTCAGCTGCTTAGCATACATGGGTGGGGCTTGTGTCGTGGGGGTGGAACCTGCGCAAGCGAGGCAGAGCAGGAGTATGTGTGTCAGGGAAGCTACTGGGAATTCGGAAGGGAGACTGTCAGTGCTCCCTCGGCCCCAGCCAGGGCCGGATTAACATAGGGGCTGATGGAGCTGCAGCTTCAGGCCCAGGCCCGTGGAATAGGCCCATTAAAAAAAAAAAAAAAGTACAAAAAATATATATTTTTACATTTTTTTTTTTTTTTTTTACACACTACTCTTAGGTTTGCCACCTGACTGGTATTTTACTGGCACAGCTGGTATTTGAGGCTGCCTGGCCAGTGGCAGTATTGCAGTTATGCAGGCAATACAAATGCAGGTATTTTTCTCAGTATAAACGGAAATTACTCTGCAATACCAGCACCGGCCAGTAGGGTTACTGCATATCCCTCCCTGCCTTTCTCTACTATTCACTGATCCGTGGGGGAGCAGCTACACAGCACAGAGAGTCCAGACAGGAGCTCTACAGCTCAGGTAAGTGAGGGATGGGGGAAAGGCAGCAGGGAGACATGGGGACACTGAGACACTAGGGAACACATGGGGATACAGACACTAGGGGATACTGGGAGACCTGGGGACACTGGAAAACACAGGGACACAGAGAAAAAATGGGGACACAGACACATGGGGACACTGTGAGACATAGGGAGACACTGAGACATTGGGACATGGACACACTAGGGACACAGTGTCCCCTTGTCTCCCAGTGTCCGTGTCCCCATGTCTCAGTGTCCCTAGTGTCTCAGTGTCCCCTAGTCTCCTAGTGACTCAGTGTCTCCATGTGCCCCATGTCTCCCAGTGTCTCCAAGTGTCTGTGTCCCCGGGTCTCTCAGTAACATAGGGACACTGAGAGAAATGGGAACACTGTGACACTGGGAGACTAGGGGACTGGGTGACATGGGGACACTGACACTGTGATACTGAGTCACTCCTTGTGATTTACATCATGTGATTTCACGCATAACTAACTAATTATTCAAATGTATAAGGCTGGTATTTTTTTTCCAAGAAAGGTGGCAACCCTAACTACTCGTCACATACTCTTGCTTAAAGGAACACTAGAGGGTCAGGAACCCAATCATGTATTTCTGACCTTATTATGATAAAACTACAATTTAGCCCCCCTGGCCTCCTCTTGCCTCCCTTAATATAGTAAACTCTTACTTGTATTGACATCATCAGAAGTGGTGGTCTGCGCAAATTACAATGCTTCCCCATAGGATTGGCTGAGACTGTCAACAAGGCAGATCAGGGGCAGAGCCAGCACAAGTCAAACATAGCCCTGGCCAATCAGCATCTCCTCATGAAGATAAACTGATTCAATGCATCTCTATGAGGAAAGTTCAGTGTCTGCATGCAGAGGGTGGAGACACTGAATGGCAGTGCTGCACACTAGGCAGCACTGCCCCAGGAGGCACCACTAGCAGCCATCTAAGGAATGGCCATCAGAGTTATTTTCTCGGAAAAGACAGTGTTTACTGCAAAAAGCCTGGAGGGAATGATTGTACTTACCAGAACAAATACAAGTGAGCTGTAGTTGTTCTGGTGACTATAGTGTCCCTTTAAGTTTGGAAGCTTAAGAGGGATGCATGAGAACAAAACCTGTGTGGACTGGCTGACAAAATAAGTTTAGATAATGCAGACTTTGGTCTCTCTAACACTGTGGCATGTCCCCTTTCTTCTACACTCACTACATACACATTTTCTCTGTCTCAGACTATATACCAGGAACTTCTGCCTGCTAGTAAGATAAGGAGAAAAGTTGACATGTGAGTGCGAGGGGACCGTCCTTAGAAAGCGTGGAGTAGGCACATCATTTGATGTCTTTATGTCAAGCTCAGGGTGCTGCCTGCATAGTATGCCCTTAGTTGGACAGCCTGCAGGATTGGCAGGCAGCCTGACATGCATTCATGCCAGGCTGTCCTTCCAATTCTTTGGACAAACATTCCCCCTTTTTGGGCATATTCACCCCTTTTGGCAGGTCTGGTCACGTGATTTGCACCAGTGGCACACCCTTTTACCCCGCTCATTGACTTCCTGCTTCACTGGACACTGCTGTTAGGGGGTATGGATTTACTTGAAAGATGAAAGCATAAATTAGAGAGAGATTAGCATAGAGTATGTGCTTTCTTATAGCTGCATCCTTTGAGTTTCCCTCCAACACCATCTCCATCAGATACATGATGCTTGGGAGGTAAGATTGTTTTAGTGTTTTTGGTCGATACGATTCTGTAAATAGGCCCATCATAATTGTCAGCACCAGGCCCGCTGGGCTCTTAATCTGGCCCTGGCCCCAGCAACCTCCATGCAGCCCCCAGCATCTCTCTCCAGCCCCCAGCACCTCCATCCTGTTACAGTCCAAGGGAAAAAAATAAAAGCACATGCTCCCGGGAGAGTTAATTGGCCAGGACAGAATCCAGCTTCCCGGGACTGTCCTGGCAAAAATGGGACGGTGGCAACCATTTTTATGCCTTGATAAGAACAAGTGTCTGCGTGGACTTTGTCTGGTTTTTAATCCCATGTCCCAGACATTTCAATCAGTCACCAAGGGAAACTTTCTCTTACTGTGGGAATTAAACTCTGCTCTGTATATAGGCAGACTTTTTTCCTGCCAGGATATCCATTATCAGCACTCTTGTAGAATGCATCATTGAACATATAAACTTACCTAATTGCTCACCACAAACCTCATAAATGTGAAAGATTTGTTGGAAGGAAGCTAGATATAAGCAGCGGGGGGGAACTGCAAACACAGAAACACAGGTACTTATACCAGTCTTTAATATTAATTACTAATGTACTTACCTCAGGTGGGAAAACATCCATAAGGACAAATGAACTGCTGCAGGCCTGTATTTCAGTGGCAAATGGGGATTTGACCATCTCACAGTTTATAGGCTTCCATATGCACCCCAAATGCCATTCGTCATCACCAGTGGGAGAAGGTCTAAAACAGACCTGGACATGGCTGTATACATAACAGAGGCGTAACCTGGTAGTCACCTTATGGAAGTGCTGTTTACTAGGGCTTTGAGGAAATAGGTCATTTATGCAATGGAACACGATCAGACCCCTGGTCACTAAAGGGGGTACACAGGGAGGCAACTCTTACATCTGTGCTGTTTGCTAGGTCTTCAGGGATTAGAGGCTTGACCTACACAGTGCCATCTTAAGAGCATTATAGGCCCCCGGGCAAAGCGGTGTGCTGGGGTTCTGCCTACATAACCACTAATAGGAATAAAAATCTAAATTATTGATAAAATTAAGTTTATGTTTATCGGTACCTCTAACAAATGCAATGCATACACACATTTCTTTTTTTTTTATAATTCTTTATTTTTACTCAATAGAATCAGCAAGTGTACATCAACTTTCAGGCTTACGCAGAAGCCAACATGTTCAACATTGTGGGAACATTGCAAAGTTTGCCGAGAAAATAAAACACAAAGAGTAAACAACAAAGACAAGGCATGGACAATGTGTGCTCCGCCATTTACTGAATCTACTGGCACCTGCCGTCTATCGAGGTGTTTTTAAATTTTTTAATTACCCCCTTCTAGGATATACATCAATGATCGGGTAATTCGACAGTTATACGGTCACTTTCGAGCTAATATAGAGGCCTATTAAATTACAATTTAATATAAGAAAAAGGTAATCGTTGTGGTTGTCGTTTGCCTGTAATTGTAACTTAGTATTGGCTCTCTCCGTTTGTCGGGGAAACTTATGGTAGATAAAGGTACAGGCTAATCTGCAAAAGTTAAGTAGCCATCATATTTGCTGATCAACTTCCTAAGTGTGTTACCTTGTTCCTCCAATCATTGGTCTAGCCTGAAAAAACAAATCACAGGAAACGATGAAATAAAAGAGAAAAAGGAAGAAAAAGGAAGAAAAAGAGGAAGTAAAAAGGATTAGAGAGAGAACGAGTAGTGCCTAGTCCAGGCTGAAAAGGAAAAGGAGGGAAATGGGGGGGAAACGGCGGGCCCACCATCTCTCCGCTGGCGGCAGCACCCCAACCGGCGGTATATCGTCGCGGTCAGCACCAGTTGGGGTATGCCTTCAATCTCCGCTCGATCCAAATACGCTATTGTCCCATGGTTCCCAGAGTTTTTGGAATGTTGCGGTGGTCCCCCTCACCCTTGCTGTCAAATCATCCATAATTCTACATTCTTTAATTCTGGAGATTACCCCTGCGAAATCCGGGCCCTCTGAAGTGAGCCATGCTGTCGCTATCGCTCGACGCGCGCACAAAGTAATCTTGTGTACTAATTTCTGTTCCCGAGTGGACCACCCATCCACAGATCTATTTAATAAGTAGGTCCAGGGGTCTAACCTCAGAGGCTTATCAAATATCTGCTTCAATAAATCCTCCACAGACTTCCAGAATCCGCGTATCTTTGAGCATTGCCACCACATGTGTAAATACGTTCCTTGGTCTCCGCAACCCCTCCAGCAATCATCTGTGTCTAGTTTGTGCATCCTATGTAATTGAATTGGGGTGGTGTACCATCGGAACATAGTTTTCCACGCCTGCTCCTGTAGGGTTACACATATTGAAACCTTAGCATTTGCCTCCCAAATCTCTTGCCACTCCAGCCCCTCCAAGGTCTCACCGAGGTCATTCTCCCATTGGACAGTATACGTTAGTCTTCCCCATTCTCCATTTTCTTCACTGAGGTGTGCGTACAATAATGTGATCATCCCCTTGGGGGTTGCCCCGTCCGAACATATTCTCTCGTAGAAAGTGTGAGTCTCCATTGCAGCCTTTTTAATGGTTGGTTTTTGGGCGAAGTCTCGTATTTGGATGTACCGGAAAAAATCCGCTGGAGTCAGGTGATTACCCAATTGAAGGTCCGCGAACTGAACGATCTCTCCATTATGAAACAGCTGATGCAACCGTTGCAGTCCAGCACGTTCGATGTTGCGGAAGTGCCTGGGGGTCATACCAGGGGGGAATTCTCTGTTCCTAAGAAGTGGGGTCATAGGAGAAGGGGATGATGCCAGCTTATATTTGGCGTTACACATGTCCCATATGCGTATCGAATTGAGGATCGCTGGGCATGTTATCAGTATTTCCGGTCTGTATTCTCTGGGGACCCACATTGTGAACTGGGGGACATCCACCCCCACCATCATAGATTCGATATCCACCCACCGCCTCTCCTCAGGAGCGGAATGCCACATGGCTATCTGCGTTAGTTGTGCCGCTAGGTAATAAAAGAAGAGGTTCGGAAGGCCCAAGCCCCCTCTATCTTTTCGCCTATACAGTACCTGTTTGGAAATTCTATGTCTCTTGTTCTGCCATATAAAGTTCCCTATTGATCTTTGCAAGGGAAGCAATTGTGTCTTCGTGATTCGGATGGGTAGCGCCTGAAAAAGAAACAGTAAGCGCGGGAGGATGTTCATTTTTACAGAATGTATCCTACCGATCCAGGAAATGGGTTTGTCCACCCATTTGTCTAGGTCCTCCGTCAGCGCTCTAAGCATGGGGGCGTAATTAGTTGCATATAGACGTTCTGGGTCAGCCGTTATGTTGATCCCTAGGTACCTTAGGGAGTCTGTTTCCATACGGATTTGGTATACCTCCTGCAACCTAGTTGTTTCATCTTGTGTCAGGCATATCGGGAGCGCACTGGACTTTTGGATGTTTGCTTTATAACCGGATAGTCCTCCGTATTCTAGAATGACTCCCTTAAGTGCGGTCATCGATTCTAACGGAGTCGTGATGGTTAAGAGAACGTTGTCCGCGTAGGCTGATACCTTGAAATCTTTATCCCCCACTCTTACACCCTTAATGTTTGGATGTTGACGTATCGCGTGAAGTAGAGGCTCCAACGCCAACACGAAAAGGAGGGGCGAGAGCGGGCAACCCTGTCTCGTGCCATTGTATAGCCGAAATGGGTGGAACGGGGCACCCGTTATCTGTACTTGTGCCCGCACGTTATCATACATTGCTTTCGTTGTAGTTAAGTATTCCTCTGGGAAGCCCATGCACTTCAGAACTGGAAAAAGAAATTGCCACCGAACTCTGTCGAACGCCTTTTCAGCGTCTAAGGATACCACTAACGTGGGGGTCCTTGATGTCCTTTGTTTCCAGATCAGATCCACGTTCCTCCTAGTATTTTCAAACAATTGTCTATTTGGGATAAACCCAACCTGATCTGCATGGATGAGAGAAACCAGCAACGGGTTAAGTCTGTCGGCCTGTATTTTCGCCAAAATCTTCAGATCATGATTGATCAATGAGATGGGCCTGTAGTTCTCTGGGTATAGAGGGTCCTTTCCGGGCTTAGGCAAGAGAACTATAGTCGCCAGTGTCATATCAGATGCCAGTTGTCCGCCCTGCCATAAGCTGTCAAAAAGTCGGACCAATTGTGGTGTGAGTTCTTCTCTAAATGTTTTGTAGTATGAGCCGTCGAAACCATCTGGTCCCGGTGCCTTGTTGCCATTTAGATTCGAGATGGCCTTGTCAACTTCATCTTCCGATATGTCCGCTGCCAGAGAACGTGTTGCCTCACCACTCAATTTAGCTAACCCTAAGCCTTCTAGGTATCGTATGATATATTCCTCCTCGCGTATCCCGTGCGGACTTCCATCCGGAGTGTGGTTATACAACTTTCCGTAGAAGTCTTCGAAAATCTTAGCAATCTCCACAGGTCCCGTTCTTGTCGTGCCATCAGGATGTTTGATCGCCGTTATGTGAGTCCTTCCTTGCCTTGGCCTAAGCGTTCTTGCTAAAAGGGTGTCCATTTTGTTCGCCTTTTCGAAAAAAGTCCGTTTCGACCAGGTCATGGCTTTTGCCGTGTCATCTAATAGTAAAGTGCGGATGTTCCTACGTGCTGCTTCCAATTGCGCGAAGATGTTTGCTGATGGCGCCGTTTGGTGCTTATGTTCCAGGGTGCTGAGTTGGCCCAGCAAAGATTCCAGTTGCTGGTGTTTCAGTTTCTTTTGTCTGGTGGCCAGTTTGATCAAAGTCCCCCTAATGACCACTTTATGGGCCGCCCAGATTGTGCTTGCGCTCACGTCAGGGGGCATACACACATTTCTGAATACACACAGACAGACTGCTGAGTACACACAAACTGCAGTGAGGGGTCTGAAGGTGTGTGTGAGAGTGCAGCATGTGAGGGGGTATAGAGTGTGCTTGAGGGGGTGCAGTATGTAAGGTGGTTGTGTGTGCGCAGTGTGGGAGTAGGTGTAAAAAGTTGGAGTAGGGCTGCGCCAACAAAAAATTTAATAAAATAAAGTAATATAGTCCCAAAAGTCTCACTAGAGCAGCAATGGATGGGCAGGGATACTTGATAAAGTGAAGTTGAGTAGACTCTTCAATGGGGATAGATACGTCAGAATGTCTCAGGATGTTCGTTATATGGAAAACAGAGAGAGGCAACCAATAGTGCAATAAGTCTAAACTGTAAGGGGGAAGTGTGTGTGAGGGAGTGCAGCATGTAATGGGGTGGTGTGTGTGAGGCGGTGTAGTGTTTGAGGGAGTGTAGTGTGAGGAGTGCAGTGTGTCTTTGTCCATGGAGTATGTAACGGAGCTCCCTGTAGCCCGACTGGGTACCTCCTAGCTGGAACAGGGACAAACCACAGCCCTTCTGCCCACAGTTGCGGTGGCTTGACTGGGGTCCTGGAACCGCTCCCTCCTGGAGCCGAATGGGGAATTTGCTCTACCCACCCCTAGGCAGTGAACAACACACAGTCCTGGGAGCTCTAGTCCTTACAAGGACTTTCCCCGTTGAATCCTCCACACTGGAACAGTGATTAAAGAATAGCCATTTCCCCTCCCAGTAACCAGATGACACATAGTGCTGGGAGTACAAGTTGGAATAAGTTTATTGGCAGACACAACTGGCCTTATATGCAGGTCCCCAAGCAAGGGGCTCTCCCCCTTGGACCTGAAAGTAGACTACAGTAAAAACATACACACAATTACATTGGCTCTCAGGTCCAGGAAACTCCCATACAAAACGGGTCAATCCCTCCTCTGTGCCTGGTAGATAATTGAGTTAGCACTGTATTAAACTCCGTTATCTCCAGGCACAGAAAACATACATTAAATACCTTTAAACACACAAAATCCCCACAAAAGTTACATCTCCTGATAGACCCGATCTAGGTGACCAATATGTCTAAAAATCACCCAGATTGGTTCAGGGGTTCGGAATTTTCATGGAAGTCATAATTTTGACCGACCGTGCACATGGTCCTATGCCCAAAACAGTTCCATGAAATCAGTGCCAACGGTCGGTTTGGTAGTCTTTTACAGGTTTCCATGCAGGGCCCATAGTCTGTGGGCAGGAGGCTGGCAAGCAGGCTCCTCCAGGAGCTCATGGCAAACTCACATGGGATGGGGAGTTTGTCACATATCTTCCCCCTTTCGTGGAGACTATCCAGACCCCAAACCTCCAATCGGTCTGGGTCTGTGATAGTCTGGTTTTCCAAAAGGAGTAGTTGTCTATCCGTGCTTGGTGGGCACAGGTCAGCAGTGCTCTGCCCTGTAGCCAGCACTTGAGCTGGGTTAGCTTGTTCGCGGTCAGGCTCAAGAAGAAGGAAAATGGGAGGGCAGAGACCAACTGTGCCTGCTCTTTTGCTGGGAGTGTGTCAGTGGAGACCGCAGTCCCATCCACTACACCTGGCAACTTGAGGACCCAGTCTATTAGGTCTCCGACTGCTGGAGAGGCAGGTTCAGCAGAAGCAAGCTGTGCTCTGCCCTGATGTCAGCTCTTCCGCTGGGGTTGCATGCTGTCGCTGGGTCAGTTGGTTTAGGTAGGCACTAGCCTTGTGCGGTGCGGAGGTAACTTATGGATA